TTTTCAGAATCTTTTGCGGGGAGGGCCTTTGTACGGCTGTTGGCAGTGCGGGGACTGAAGTGAGAGTAGGTGATAAATTTTCGGGGATAGGGTAGGGAAGAAGTTCGTTTTCAAGCCCTAGGTCCATAAACTCATCTTCTGAGTCCATGTCTATGGGTTCGGGTGGAGGTAATTGTTTCTCAGCTTCGGCTGCTAAGATGACTTCCTCCTGGATGGTTGTAAGAGGTCGGCGAGGCCTCGCACGTTTCGCAGCGCGCGGGGCAGTTCGAGCGGGGAATACGAGTATCGCAGGGTTTTTACGCCTCCTGTGGGGCATCTTATCGTCCTGTAACGATCAAGGGTCTTGAAATTGATTTAGAAGATATGCAAAAATGGCTGAGTTCAGCTGGAAGATTGTGGTATTTGGGTAGTTACTTGAATCAATGCACTCTGTCTGTATGATGTGACTTTTATTATTATTATTTATCGTCGTGCTAGCTCACAACCCAACCCTAAGGTATCGTGTTGGCCAGCTCAGTCTACATAAACTGCCCGACGTGCCGATACTTTTCAATAAGCCCGGCATGTTATAAATGGGTCAAGGCCTGCCTGCCATGCACCCCGAACTATCGAAAGAAGTCAAAAGTACTCTCCAGCTGAGACTTTTGTATTCTAATACAGTAGAGAAGATAGTTATATGAAAAGGAAAGTTATCCATCACCTAGACCAGAAGTCTTCTAAATTTAGCTCTAGCAAATACAGGCCAAGTGCATATAATTTGGAGTACTAGTTAGTCTTGTTGTTGCATGCTTCAAAAAAGCACGTTTCATGAAGCCATTTACTAAAGGCTATGGCTCCTTCAGGTGAGCCTAGAATCCAGCGAATTCCCGTCGTTGGGTGTTTATCTCCGCTGCGAAGGCGGGACCGACACGGATTGAGTCGACAAAATAAGAAGTGCTCGGGAGACTTTTCTAGTCCGCAAGCGCAGATTAGAAGAGTGTCCGAGTGCTGAAAGCGGCAGTGTTAGTCAGCAAAGTCTCCATGGCCTGAGCGAGCTGCAAGAAGACGACCAAGAGCGTAGCGGTTAAGGCTCTTGAGTTCGGGGGAGCTCCCAATATTGGCGTTAATTCGCAGTTTTTGGTATCGTTCAGGAGCGTTTTGAGACCAGTACAGGTATACAGAGGCTTTGTATCGAGAGATTATGTCTCTCTTTGCTCGAGAGATTGTTGGGGATAGGGGGAGCCAAGGGGTTGCGCATGCTTGTTTAGCAAGTGCGTCAGCAGCTTCATTGCCCGGTATGCCGACATGTCCTGGACACCATCGCACCCTGACTACACCTGGTTCAGAAAAGTGGCTACGATCTCTCTCTGTCCATTTAGTAGCAAGGTATCGAAAGTAAGCGATACGGGAGGAACTGCTAGGGGAAGGAGTATCTGCAAGGAGACGAAGGGCGGCTTCCTGATTAACTAGGCAAACCGTAATATTTGTGACGTATCGAGCCATCGGATTATGGAGGGCGGCACTTGGGCCTGGATTATGTGATGATTCTTCTTGTTCTTCTTAGATACAGGCGTGTCAGCCTTGAGGGCGACACGCCAAGCTGCACCAATACACGCGACTAACTAACAACAGTCAGACCCCTGTTAAGACGATGCAATCGGGGCCGTGAAAAATATCGTCTTATAGAGCAGATCGTTTAAGAGGATATGACTATTGTTGGTACAACGGGGTTCACTTGGTTTAATGCCTTTTCTTTTGCATCAGATTTTAATTGCGTATGCAGCTATCTAGCTGTGACACAATATCAGAGAAAAGTACAGAAAAGATGACTCAATTTACGATAGGAGCACTCATGCCTCGGATTTCATTTGCAAGTACCACTGCGAAGTTATGGTGGCTTTTTCTTCACCCCAAGTCAACCCTCATCCGGGAATACCCACCCAGGGAAACGTCTCAAAATCCCTGAGTTACCCAAACATGCCTCCATCATCCATTAACTTATCTCCGCGCGAAATATGATCTGAGATGTCTCCTTCCTAAGTGGAGTAGGTGCCCAGGCTACTCAGACTATACCAGAGAACACCACCAGGAGGCGGATAACAACACCTACCATCGTTTGCTTGTATTTATAGTGTCAGCTGCACTCTCGCAAGCGAAGTCTTGGCGCGCACAAAGCTCAATTCGTAAAACTCCTTGCCAAAAATTCTAAAATTCACGCCCATCGAAGTTATGTCCTTCCTTTGCACCATCTTGTCAACTCGTCCTAAATCCTCTCACGTCCATCTCAAAGAACTGTCTCCCAGATTTGTGCTCCACACTTTGCTTCCTCCGTCGGGTATAAATATCGGCGTGGGCGTCTATTTGGTGACCGGCTGAGGCCAGAGAAGGTCGACGAGAGATGTGGTCATAGGGATGAGGATATACTAGGTCGTACCTGTAGGCTTGATGAGACTTTTGTGGGAGTCAAACTTGTTGGGAGCGAAAAAACGACGTAGTGGAGTAATTTGAAATTTTGCCTCGTGGGCCAACTTCTTTGATATTGCGAAATTTGACTGAACTTGGTTCCGGGAGAATATTTCACTCCCAGGTTCGTAGAGGACACCGCGTACAGGTGTTCAGTCTTGCCCTCCGGTTTAATGCCTTGAAAGTGCTAAAAACAAGTGGTATACTCTGTCAATCTCTCCTGTATCCCTCCTCAAGCATTAATATCTAAGGTACAAAGCGAAGCTTAGCGCCCTAACTTTATCACGTGATGCGCTGACCAATACTTTTGGAAGTAAACACTTAATACATGCCCCGCCACCTCGGGCAATACCAAGCTCAGCTCCACAGGGCACAGAACTCTAATCCCAGCGTATCCTGGGCACTTTTTAATTTACATCCTATTTGAGTCTATGACTATTGAAGTATCCTGGGCACTTGCTTCGGCGGAGGGAGTTGATGCATTCAATTACTGGGTGCGTGTCACAGATTTCTTCGAAAGGACACAACGAACAGTCTGATTCGAACGAAATCACGATCTGATGTAAACAATCTTCTCCTTTTATTTTTTATTTTGTTCTGTAAAATCTTTTCTTGATTTAGTACTAACTGCATAGCATGAAATTCGTTTGATGGACGACCTTCATGTTCACTATAATCTTCGAGCGTTGGATGATAAGATCCTAGCTATTGTTTGCTTTGGTGGGTCTGTGTGGGCGCCAACACGTCGGGTAGTTTAATTTAGACTGGGCTAACCGGTACGTGAGGATCTCACGTGCTGTGCGCGAGTATGAGGTTAAATATTATAAATAAATACAAGCCCTTTTTACCTACGCTATTCACCTGTGAACCGACAATTATTTAATCCAGCTATCTAGGCTACTTTTTACTTTTGATGCCTCTTTTATGCTCCCAATTGCCGTCTTTAATCGCTCTAATACACTCAAGGTCAGGCCAGTTTCCAGCTCGCTATCGTTGCTCAGTAGTACTTGTAGCTTCGTCGAGTTTCGCAAAGGTCTTGCTCAAGGACTCGGAGACTGTGGACTGGCTTAATCGATGGCCGTACTCAGCGAAGAACCACTCAATGCAATATTTTTGTGTTGGTTTTGGGACCTGGCAGTGCGCCCACTGTCGCAGAGCACGTCATTGCTCTGCAGAAATTCCCTTTTTTGGCGGCATTGTTAGCACCAATCTAGCAAAAAAACCCTGGTTAAGAAGATTTTCAGAGGTTGAAGGACAATAATCGTGTAATCGGTAAATGTATGGGAACGAAGTCCGATCCAGAAAAAATATCGTCTTAACCATGATCGTCTTAACCGGGGTCTGACTGTACCAACATATGGATATCTCTCTCCTGACTCATGTACATTCCAAACTGGTATTGCAACACTGGCAAATTTTCTTTTGAGTTTGTTTTGTCCCTTACAATAGTTTAGCAGATAAGCTCTCCTTCCCCTTGTAGCCACACTTTATATGAAGAAATTTACCCGAGTATTAACAATTCAAAGAGGTCTTGTCTGTCAAATCACTACTTCAATTTCCATATGTCAGTCACAGGTCGCTCTATAAAGCCTTCCTTACGAATGTTCAAAGCGTTTCGGGTCTGTGTTCAGCGTTTTTGAGGTCGCGGACTGCAGAAGGAACAACAGCAGTCGCTGCTACTTATTTGATCACAGAATCCATGAAAGCTGCGAGGGGGGCGATTTGAGTCTTAATTATGGCTAAGGAAGAGCTGATCGATAATTCTCAAGTCATCTCTGTATTGATGAAACTAATTTGGAGTTTGGTTAAACTTTTCCTTGAATTGAACAGTATAACCTCCAGTTCTCGAACACCTTTGTAGGCCGTAATAACATTCGTGCGCATTTGTATCTCTCTCCAGCATACTTTTCACTGAGAGCTCGCTAACAGGGCTGTCCTTTCTTTGAGGATGCGTCGAGTATTTCCTGGAGTGGTTTATCCAGAGGCTTATTGCGGAAGTTAGCAAGAGTTATGTTGGTCCAGTCAGTGTAAAATTAATGTTGGTTAGTTTTCTTATCAAAATGATATTTTATCTTCGTGTTATAGTTGTAAAAGATTTCGTCCTTTGGGATGTAGCTCCAATAGAATGCTTGCGCCTCACCGTCGAAGATATGTGAAAACAAGCCACGAAAATACTGCGTTGGGATACTGATGATGTCACATATCCGAAAGAAATATCGGGCTTCGTCGTTTGGCAGATCATACTCTTCTGCTATATAGCGTTGATAAAGATCCCGTGGGTTGATGAAAGACGTTTTAGTGTTAGCATCGATTCTTTTATTTGTGACATCGCGTGGAGGTGGGTCAATGTAATTATCAAAAGGCTTGAGTTCTACTGCAGCGCTTAAATCCAGGCTTTGAGGATATATAGAACACAATGCAGGGGGTAGTTGATCATTCTGTTGAGGGTAAGGAGAGCGTAGACGAACAGGCCTGAAATTAGACCGGAGTTGTTGTCTGGATGTTGTTGTCTTAGAGTAGAGAGACTGGTCTTCACTTATCTCGCGAATAGTTTGCTTTCACATAACGGCAGGCTGTAGTAGTAACTGTGATTGATCAGATACATTTTCTTCGGCCACTTGAGGCCATTCTGGAAGTTCCTCGGCATTCAGTAAATTCGTCATTGCAATGCCAATTGTTGTTGCCTTCTTGCCAGTATAGACTCTGTTATTGTGGAATTAATCGCGGAATCTCTTCTCAAACAGAATTTTAATTTTGCTGAATATTTCCGATATCCAGTCTGCAAATTCTTCCTTGAAAAGCAAAAATAGATCTTCGCCATGCTCTTTGTATTCCTCCCAATCTGTTAGAATTTTGACGGCATAGGTAGTAAGCGCTATTGCAGATGAGGATTTAGTAGCAGGTTGGCCCCAGGAATCTGGGTCTAGAGCTTTGAAGTGACGAGGGGATATGCTTGTGCCTTCTATTCTTAAGGCGAGCTGCGCGATCTTGCAGTCTTTAATGCGACTATCGGCTTCTACCTTTGAGGTATCTGTTCCGGCCATTTGAATAAATTTTCCTTGAGGACAGCTGTTGCTGTGTGGATATTTAAATTGAAGCGTGAATGACGCTTATCTTGGCAACAGTAGAGGAACTAACACGCACAACAGCAAAGTTGTCGGTCAGGGTAGGTCTATAGGCTGTAGCTTTCGATCTTCTTGTATTTTGCCGAATAATGTTACTGTATCGCGCATCCTTATAAAGGTCTCGATGCAGAAACAATCTTGTAAACTGACAATGTATTATTAGCACTCTTCTCTCCCGCTGATCGTTCAGAAGTTAATCAGGGAACACGGAGTAGAGAGATCTGTCTCTTCAACTTAGCTGGTCTATAGTCACACCTATGGACTACTGATCAGTGTCTGTTGGTAATATACACGTGTGCGCGTACGCAATGGGTCTCTCGATGATGTGGTGATTCTTCTTTTTTTTGCACCAAAACACGTGACCAACCAACTATCAACATATGGGTATCTCTCTCCTGACTCATGTACATCCTAAACTGGTATTGCGACAAATAGAAAGATATTTGGAGTGTTCCCTGTCAATAACTTTGATGGCATATATGAAATCATAATGAACTGGATATCCAGTTGTCTCTGGTATATTGATCTCACTGGCTTCTTTATACGCATGTTGGTATGTATCTAGCCACCTTATCACAGGCTGATTTTCGCGATATGTCCTAGCTTTGATATACGTTCAGATGATTCGCAACTCTCTTGCACGATCAGTGGTTGCAAATTAGCTTTTTAATTCCAGAAACTGTTTGAGCAGAGTTTTCTCATTTCTCATGTAAACATAGTTATCGGGATGAACATGTTGCCGAACCCATCAGCTAAATGCATCATATCTGCTGGAAATGGAGACACGGAGTGTTGTGGACGTACGGGCCCTCCATTTCGTCTAGATTCCCGACACGATCTTGTGTGTACGTAAGAGGTTGGAATTGGCAATATAGTAGCGCTTCAGGCTGCCTATTGGACATATGAGCGGTTATATGGCGTGGGCGCAAGGAGGTTATTGAGGGTTTTCTATGCCTAGATGGCGCCACACTCGTTTATGCTGTGGCTCAAGCTCTGTGTCGCTTACACTTGTACTTGTAGCGCACATTTCCTACAGTTTTATCCGTAATCCGAACATAACACTCTTTTAGTCAACTTCTATTTTCGTTCCATGAATATTGCGCCCACTTCATTGCGCGATATTTCCAACAATATCTCTCTCATTTCTCCGAATCTCTTGTTTTTCCGTAAACATGTGCAGCTTGTTGATATCGATGTTCCGTAAGTAATAGTGTTATGATGTGATTATTGCATTTACTCTAAATTTATCTCTGCCAAGTGCCAGGGATACAACACATCTATGCGAGTACTGCACAGCCCTACATGGCTATCATTACGGTCGACTATTGAGGCGCAGCTCTATACAATGGCATAGAGTAATGTGGGATAGTATTGCATGGAATTAAGATTGTAGTACTTCATGCATAGACGGTGATGTACTGTTTAGCGGGTGCCAAATATGTGTATATAAGTCCTATCTACTACTGTGATATGTAGAACAATATAACCAAGCTATTCATCATATCGTCAAGCTCTGATAATCCTTATCCACCCTCTGCACTATCCTAGAATATTCAACATCTCATACCTACTCATATCTTAATTACAACAGGTTATGAGCCCGGGCTCTTCCACCGCGGCACTTAGTAAGACTCAGTGGTTATTTAAGAAATATGGAAAAGGATAGCAGACACGTGCTAGGTGAGGGCATCTCTTCCTCGAAGTGGAATAGCAGTCTTCAGGCAAAGCTTGCCAAGCGAAATCTTCTCGGACATGTTTTCCATGACATCGAAGAAATAGAACCAGCAATTGCTCCTCAGGCACCAGCAGTCAAGAGTGCCGAGCAGACACCTCAGCAGTACCATGAATTAGTGGCAAAGTATAGAGCAGAAAGAGCAGCATGGAAAATAGGTGAAATCGAGGCTAGAAACATTATAATTGATCGATTAAGCGATAGCGTGTATCCCCGTACATATGAAAAATATACAGCTAAGCAATGATGTGAGAATGTGGCAAAAACTCGATCAGAATCGGCAGCGGCACCATATGCATCAGCCCTTGAGATACTCCTCCAAACAAGGTTTGCTGGATCAGCAAACGACTACTGTGATCGTTTCTTAGCAAACCTATAGAGTGTAAACAGTGCAGCTGATGCTCTTGTCTCTATACCATCAATCTTGGATCCTGAACAGTCTGAATATGCGGTTCTTCCAGGACAGGCTGCAGTTTTGTTTACACTTGGCACTAAAGGGGTAGGATGGTTAGATAATTGGAGAGACTCAAAGGTTCTTGAAAGCGACAACAAGTACTCCAGCCTTGAATTTATGATGTCATCGCTAAGAGCTGTTGCTGCAAATAGGACCCAAATAACGCATCGAATAACTCCAGCAGCTGAGGCCGAGATAGATGATAAAAACGATCCAGACGACACATGCACGCGATGTAGACACAAGCACAAGAATAAGGAGTGCTTTAAACAGCATCCAGAGCTAGCTAGACCACGCCGTAGTTATCAGGGACACAAATATTGGAAAGGAAAAGGAAAAGCTCGAGCTCTTGCTGGCAATTGCAGTAGTGACTCAGACTCCGAAGGAACTGCCATAGCTGCCATGTGTGCATTTAGTTCCAATAATATTCCTTCACTATATGATACAGGTGCATCGCACCATTTTTTACCTTCTAAACAAGATTTCGTCAGTCTTCGTGAGCGTTCTAGACCATTTAAATTTGATCAAGCAATAGGAGAAATGTCACTTAAGTATCAAGGCACTGCGCACTTAAGAATCGGAAGCTTGAAGCTCAAGCTTCAGGATTATCTGTACTCCCCAAACTCATCCTGCAACATTATCTCAGCCGTGAGACTACAGAGACTTGGAAATATAATTCCAGACTTTAACAATACGACGCTCGTTCAGAAACAAAATGGGCAGCCAGATAAACCTGTCGCACGACTCATTTCTTGAAACGATGTTCTATACATTCATCCTCTAGACCCGTGTAGTCTCACAGAGAAACCTAATGCTGTGGCTGCTCCAGGAGTTGCACGAGTTCCGAAGACTTCAAGTGCACAACGCTGGCACCAACGTCTTGGACATACAGGTCAAAAGATTCTGAAGAAAACGGCAGACTGCTCGCTTGGACTAGAAGGTATAGATATGAGCGACCTTAGCACCTGTGAAACTTGCCATCTTAGCAAGGCGCAACGTTTTGTATCTAGAGAGCCCAGACCAACTCCAAATAAGCCACTCGATGAGGTCTTTATTGACACAGTGGGAAAAGTGACGGAATCATTCAATAAACACCAGTATGCTGTCATCATAACAGATGCTAAGACACGAATGCGTTGGGTGCTAGCCACCCAAACCAAGGATCAAATAGCATTTCGATTGGTCCAGTGGATAGAACACCAGGAACATCAATACGGAAAAAGAGTTCGCATAATTTTCCGAGATGGTGGCTCAGAGTTTATTCGAACCAAGGAGTACTGCGAAAATCATGGTATACGAACAGATGTTTCAGCACCTTATACACCAGAGCAAAACGGCGCATCGGAAGCTGCGAATAAGGTCATCCTCAGGAAAGCTCGATCACTTCTAATTGACGCCGGTATGCCAGCTAGATACTGACCTTGGGCAGTTCAGCATGCATGTTTTATCACAAACAGGCTATACTGTCTTCGAACTAGTAAAGTGCCACTTATCGACTTTCTCGAAGGGTTGGGACAGCCACACAATGAGAAGATTGACTTCACAAATTTGCCTCGTTTTGGATGTAGAGCTTACAAGTTAATTGACCCTAAACCAGGGAAATTTGATCCTAGAGCTGAAATGGGCTGGTTTATTGGATTCCAGGTTAATACAAATAAGAATTTTTTAATCTATCACCCCCATTGGACACCAACACATGGATGGAAGTGGATTGAAAGCTCCACTCCTCATGTAACTTTTAATGAAGATGTTATTTTTGGTGACAAAATAGACTCAGTTGATCAGCAAAGATCTACCAGCTATTGGACTAGAGCGGATTCATTATTCTCTGATATCCCTTTATCAGGAGAACCCCCTAAGACATCTCAAGTACCGTCAGCTCATGTTTATCAAACACCACAGGAGTTTGAGGGGGAGATTCAACCACATTCGTCAACAGAATCGATAGAAGATCAATCAATGGGACCTAATTTTCAGCCACCAATAGATCCTCCTGGGTCATCAAGGCTTAAAATTCAACCGGACATATCTCCGCCAGAAGTACCTGAATTATGGGAGCCCAACAGATTCAAGTCTTACTCACTCAAGTATTCCTAGTTCACCGACTATCTCCATCCAAAGCAAAAAGGAGAGTGATCACTCAGGGTATGAGGATTCCACTGAATATTCAAAAGTCCAACATGAATCTACTGAAGTTCCGCAGTCCCAGGATCTGATTCATCAACAAAGAGATCAAAAAGATCCAAGCTCGCAAGAAGAAACTCCATATGATTTCATAATGACAGGATGGGATCCTCTGCAGCCATTTGCTGGCCAGAAACGCACACACTCCCCAGAGCCGGAAATAATACAAACTAAACGCGGTAGAAATATCAAGACAGTAGATTACTACCGCCTCCACCATGGAATGACAGCCTGCCAATCAACTGATCCAAAAACGTGGGAAGAAGCCATGACATGTTCAGAAGCAACACACTGGAATCAGGCAGCATATGAAGAGTTCAAATCGTTGAAGAAGAAATTAGCTATCAAAATCATGAAACGCAAAGATTTATCCAAAGGTAGAAGTCCCGTGAAGTGTAAATGGGTCTTTAAGAAAAAGTTCCTAGCAGATGGAAGCGTTGAGAAGTGGAAAGCCCGCTGTAATGCTAAAGGGTTCACTCAGAAACTCGGAATTGATTATCAAGAGACGTTTGCGCCAACGCCGAGACCAGAGACTGGAAGAATCATGTT